CAGGGAGACCAGCTTGATTGCTATCTGCCTTTCTCCCCACTTTGTCTTACAGCTCACTGAAACCAGAGCAGAAACAATTTATTTAAACTATTTATTTGTTTTTCTTCCAAACCTAACTAAAAGAGCAGCTTTGGAAACTGAGAGCTGGAGGTGGTCTACAGCACACTGATCTCACAGTGCTTGGGAAAACAGCGCTCAGCAAACCTTTGTCAAAAACACATGAGTTTGTCCCAAAAGAATCACAGAATGGTTTGGGTTGGAAGAGACCTCAAAGATCATCTAGTTCCAACCCTCCTGCCATGGGCAGGGACCCCCTCCACTAGACCAGGTTGCCCAAAGCCTCATCCAACCTGGTCTTGAACACTTCCAGGGATGGGGCATCCACAGCTTCTCTGGGCAACCTGTTCCAGTGCCTCACCGCCCTCACAGTAAAGAAGTTCTTTCTAACATCTAATCTAAATCGACCCTCCTTCAGCTTAAGCCCATTACCCCTTGTCCTGTCACTACATGCCCTTGTAAACAGTCCCTCTCCAGATTTCTTGTAGGCCCCTTCAGGTACTGGAAGGCTGCTAGAAGGTGTCCCCAGAACCGTCTCTTCTCCAGGCTGAACAGCCCCAACTCTCTCAGCCTGTCTTCATAGGAGAGGTGCTCCAGCCCTCTCATCATCTTCACGGCCCTCCTCTGGACTCGCTCCAACAGTGCCATGTCTTTCCTGTGCTGAGGACCCCAGAGCTGGATGCAGTACAGTGGAGTAGAGAGGCAGAATCACCTCCCTTGACCTGCTGGTCACGCTTCTTTTGATGCAGCCCAGGATATGGCTGGCTTTCTGGGCTGCAAGCGCACATTGTTGGGTCACGTTGAGCTTTCAGGAATACCTGAATCATATTACATTTCTCTTCCTAGTAGGAATAGCTTGCAAAGCTCTGAATATTTTTAAGGTAGTTGGATCAAAGGGGCAACCATACTCACACAAGCTGCTACAGGGCTCCAGCTCACCCAAGAAGTGGCTGCTGCCCCCAGCCTCACTTGCATCTCACCATCAGAAGTTACCACCTTTTTGCTCTGCTGATCTACCAATACATGTAACTTGCCTTTGGTCCTGTCAAAACAACCTACTTAGAAAGCAAATTATGAAAAATTATGAAAAAGTACCAAACCTGATGATTAGTGGAGCACTGCTAAGTAGTAAGGCATTTGCGCCTTAACAGCTAGAGATGAGCTAAGCACACCCTTCCCCCTCACACTTCCCATATGTCAAAATTAAGCCACCGGCTACCAGAGCTACTGTTGGCAGCAGATCTGGTTTGTTACCTTCCATTGTTGAAACCAGATTCTATAAATCCAATTTACAGCTGAAACTTTAGATCAATTGAATTAACACCTTTTTTGGCAGTAACCTCCAGCAGGAAAACAGGGGACCTTCTGAAGTGGTTCTGCTGCTGAAGACTGCGGGACCGCGGTACAGGATAGCAGTGTCCTTTCACTTGGTGGCTCTTCTTGCTGGAGGTTACAATTCTATAAGAAGTAAAACATGACATGCCTTAACAGAGGATTAGATGTTTATGACCGATGAGCACCTTGCTGACAAGGAAGGATTGTCCACATAGTTCAGGAGAATTGCCCCATTTTCCGTAAGCGTAGATTTAACAAACTGAATATTGCAAAAAGAATTTGGAGACATTTGAAAATAACATAACATTGGCTAAGTGGATGAATTCAGAAATACTTGTGCACAGTTTCAGAATGCATCATGTATCAATTCAACATGAAGATGTATTGATTTATTCTACAGATTGCTTTTTTTTTTTCCAAAATACACTCCAAGGTAAAATTGTGCTCTACAGTAATCTAGCTCATCTTCATCCTTGCAAAAATTGGCAAATACAGCTACAAACACTCTGTTCTACAACAGCCTTACCTATCAGAGATTACTTCCTTACCAGATGAAGTGAGTGCACACCAACTCGGTTCCGTTTCTCGGCTCTGACTTCTCTTGAACAGGACAGGTTTTTTGGGGCAGTTAGCAGTGCAGCAACAGCGGTGGTTACAAGCGTCTGGAGAGGGAGTGATTAACATCCCCCCTCCTCAACTGCTGTGAAAGTAGTTTCATTTCTAATGTATTAAAGACAGTATGTTCAGTTTAAGGTGCTGATGTAAAATAGCATCAGTGGACACAGTTGTTAACACCCAAAGTTCTGCAGCTTGAGCAACACCAGGAAGAATCATCTTTAAAAAGCCACAATCCCTCTCAGTTACTCATTTCTTCAGTGAAACACGCTCTTTCTGTTAAAAATGAGCCTTCTTGTTCTCTACAGATCAGCGCAACAGAAACTTGCGGGATCTCTCAACCAGAACCCTTACCAATTAAAAAAAAAAAACCACCCCAAACAAAACCCCACCTCCTAACCCCAAGTTGCACTCTTGTGACACTTCAACTTTGTCAAGTAAACATGAAAAGGCTGGGTTTCGGGGTTTTTTGGTTGGGTTTGGTTTTTTTGTTCATTTGGGGTTTGTGGGGGGGTTTGAGTTGAAGACATGCTCCACTAGCTCTAAAAAACAGAAGGCAAAGAATCATTCAAAAAATAGCTCAAGACAAGAGCTAAAAATTTGAAACTTGTAGTCTATGTCCTCATTAGTCATTTAAAGAGCAGCATCCCATCTAAAGGAAAGGGATAATTTTTGTCAGATTCTTATAAAAAAAAAGGCTTTATTTTGAACAAGTTTTCTCCATTTGGTTTTACAGTCTCAGCATACATCATATTCATGGACAAGCAGCATTTTCACAGAATAAGAGCCAAATACAAAGAAGAGGAAGCCACTTGGGATTAACAGTTTCAACCTAATTGACTCAGACTTCAGAAAATACTGTATGCTGTCACTTATTTGAGGTAAAGGAATTCCATAAATTAAGATCCACTTTTTAACAGAAGAGTCAACAACTAAGTATTTGTGAGAAGTAGGTACCTTTGGGAAGGAGGGGGGGGGGGAAAATTAAGACATTGTGAGCAACAATAGCAGGTAGGATTTCCACTTGGTTCATACTGGTAAACCAATACAGTTTGGACTACCATGTGTCCATGTATAAGTGTTTAATCAAATTTGTGCAGTTTACATTTCAAGTTTGATGAATTTTACTGATAGTATAGTCTTAAAAGGTGAACCTAACTGAAGATATGTCATGAGCTTAGTTTATATACTGAATGCTGTCACTACGTAATCGTTACACGATCAGGTAATGATCAGTGCATGCATTTTTGCCTTTGAGTATCCAGTAAAATCCATTCCTTTCAGTGCCCGTTATGACATATTCCAGTTACGTGGTTAATTTTTGGGTCGCTGTGCAATCAGACCATAAAATTATGCACTTGGTGGAATTCAAGAATGCTTTCTTAAGAAAAATTGTATTGGGGGAGAGGGAGAAATCAACCTACTGCTATCTGATCACACAAATATACACCGGCAGTATAATAGGGTTTAGATAAACAGATGAAAGCTGTTAAAGGGTCACATTTATACAAGTTTAAAATTAACTTGTTTACAGAGCAAATCAGCTTGTGTCATTAATCTGCGTAAAAAAGACCTTAAACCTTTTTAAATAGTATCCACATTATACTAGATACTGTTTTAAAAACCAGAAGGACTATCCTCACCTTTTTGAGCTTGAGATGTAAATTAGCTGACTAATAATCCTAAGTCTCACTGAAGAGGAAACAGAATTGGATTAACATCCTGCAAACTGCAAGAACCAAATTATCAAGGTTAAATTCCTAATGCCAGCAGAAATACCACAGCTTTCAGTTCAGCCATTTGTTGCCAGGCACTGCTCAATTTCTTCCAGTGAAAAGAAAGCACAATTTATGTACTTTGCAATGAAACATTAAGCAGTGAAGCCATCGTCATATAGACAGATACATTTCTTTAAAAATGTTACTGGTAAAAAAAGTTTCACAATCTGGTTGGCCAAACCATCCAGTGAGCACAAAATAAATTCAAACTGAATTGGTGCAAGAATTTAGTTGTAAGAGGCAAAGCAGACTCATTTACATGAGCTCATTTTTCAATAATCTTTTGTTTGCTAACTCTTAAGCTCCAGTGAACAAAATGGTTTTATATTAATTTTGGAGGCAGAGAGAAGCTGGTTTGTTGATCTGGCTATGTAATGGTTCCATATCCTTTCTATTTCATTACTTCATAATAATCAAGGAGTAGATTTATCATTAGCAAGTTATTCAACTCAGAACTAACAAAGCACTAGTAAATTCTCTCCCTCATTGGAAAGCTATACTGTATTACATAGCTTCATGTACATGAAGGTGTATCTTGCAGAAAGATGGCCACTGACCACAATTTCTTACTACATTTTGAATAAAATTAGACATGAATGAAGTTACACTGCAAGCCAGCCATTGTACAAGTTGTCTCTCAAGATGTTCCAGAAACATTTCAATTGGAGCTTTAACTCCTTAAGTGATACACAACCTATGATATATAGCTATTGTGCTATTTAAGATGTCGCTTGTGCAGAAATTGCCACCTATCCATTAGCTTTTATCACACTTCAAACTATCAGAAAGCAAGTAAAGGTGGGAAAAAAATTATTTTCCACTAGCATCCAATTAGTTTCCTAAGACCTTGAAAGCTAACAAAATGCTTTTCATTAAATGACAGCTAAGAGAACATAGAGTGGAAAAAAAATAATCACTCTGTTAAGAAATTTGGTCCTTGCATTTAGGACCTTGCATTTCCTTCAATAGCTCCTATGTATCATGTTGCATGGAGCATGAGTTTTGTTTTTTTTTTTTTAAAAACCTCACCTGCCTCTTATGAATCATTGCAATAAAAAGAATACTTTTTTTTTTTTTCCACACTGCACTAGGCAACTTTCCTTCCAGCCAAAGACAAGGAATTTAGTCAAGAATCAAAAAAAAAAAAAATTGAACTATGAACTGGCACAGCCAGGAGTAGCAACTCAACTACTCCAGAGTGCTTAGAAAATAGGCTTTAGATTTTACACCAAGAAATTGGATTTATTGTAAATGCCACAGTCACATTGATAGACAGAGCACAGACTTCTGGTAACAAACAAACATACATTTTTGTAACTAAGCGTTTCTACCTGGTAAATAAATGCATTTTGCACAGCCTTCCTTTTAAATGTGCCTAAACTAACCTAAATAAGCAGACAGCATAGCAGAAAAGGGAAACTTATGTGAGTAACTGTTTCTTAAGCAGTATATTATTTTTACTATGTATATAATATTTTATATTATATACACACACATTTTCATCAACAGTTCAAATTATACCCGAATAAAAAAAAACAAACAAAAACAAAACTGGCGCTCCTCCAATACATTTACCACCTTTCCCTCAGGCATAGTTAATTCAGGTATTTGTCAAGATAGAGGAATGACAGTTAAAAAGACTCCCCCCACAAGAAACAAGTTACACAAAGAATACTGTATCACTACAAATTTTTTTATTCAGAAGCCCATCTTTAAAAAAAATCTCATTATGAACTTGTTTGGTCAAACTACAACACTTTCTAGCAGACATACAGTAAAAATGGCATGGCTCAGAATCGACCAGATCTTTCACGATCTCTTGACCGCCTCCTATCACGTTCACGTCCTCCTCCTCCTCCACCACCACCTCCACGACCACGATCTCTGGATCTAGACCGACGTTCACGGGACCTCGACCTGGATCTATGCCTTCAAAGAAAGTTTGAACATTTTATTGTTTCATCACATTCAGCAATTTACCTGCAGTACCAGACAGTAGAACACTTAAGGACGTGAGTAATGAGGGAGAAGAAAGACAATGTGGCATTAGAAGGATTGGTAAATTGGCACTCAGGCTGCGAAACCCCGTATTTACAAACTGAACAAACTTAACATCGAGGAGCCAACACACACCGTAAAGATTCAACGGTTCACTGCCAGTCAGCCATTGTAACGGGTGTGCAAAATCTAAGGAAAGGCATGTAGAGAAACCAAACGCAGTGTTACACAGCTGTTAATTGAAGAAGGAAGAGAAGGGGACACCTGCTTTTGCAGTTATGAATAGCTCTTAACACACAGCAAAAGCCTACAGCTGTTTGTAAGTCCACTCCTATTAGATCAACTGCGTTAATTAGCAATTACAACTCAAAGAAAAAAGATAACTTTTTTCCTGCCCCTCTCCCCCTGCTTCTAGAAGGTATCAGCATTTGCAAATAATCTTCTCTGCCTCAGAGGTCAACGACTTAAACTCAGGAAGAAAGCTGAAACCACCCAGAATGTACTGCTAACACAGCTACTATGGATTTATATGGCACTTGTCAAGGAAAAGAGTGGTTTAATGTTTTTTAGCATTTTAGAAAACTCAATTTTATAAAATAGGTAAACAGTACAGTTTAAATAGGTCTAGAAATTACATCAGAACTAAAAAAGCTCAGGGAAAGGAATGCTATAAGTCTTAAGTTTGAAGAATATTCTTCCATGGTGAGATGTTTTGGGATGGGAATGTCTGATCCTTCTTGCAACAGAAGGTGCTACCTTTTAGTTAGCCTTACTAAGTCCAACAGATTCAGATTTGTAGAAGTGACCAGAAGGCTGATACAAGAGCATACTTTGTCTTTTTCATAAATCATTCGAACATCTTAAAAGCTTACATTTGTTGAAATTAATATTAATTGGGATATTTTAGGAAAGTATTTAGGCACAAATAAGTGTGCCTAAGCAACACAATCCACAATTTCCAAAGTTAAATTCATCCTCACAAATTCCAAGACACTGCCAATTAGAGACATTTATAGGAGAAACATATTCGTAAACCTAGGCTCCTGCTGTGATTTAAAGAAACCTACAAAATTGTGCTCTACATAAAAAGAAGCGCAACAATTTTATATGCCTATCCTAAATCGCAAGGTCCTAAAACCAAGCAGATTGAATTCAGCTCCAAGTGAACCATTCACAAGACAGGTATCACAGTAACAGCAGTGGTATAAGCCTTTCTACACGGTACCTCAATAAATAATTCAAGATAAATATATAAAACATATTTATCACAATCTTTTTTTGCCACTAAGCAAAATTACTATTCCTTTGCCCTACTGAGAATTCTTATCAAGAAAGGTCACATTGTGAGGCTAGCATTAATAAAAAGTGAGCTCAATACAGTGATTGCCTGTTGCTAACACTAAGGAATGAATACAGGCTAGGAAAGTTAGCCATTAACCATTGAATATAAAAAAGGCTGGCTAGTGAATATAATCTATAGATATGCTCATGCATAATGCTGGAAGTGGCCGATCCGATTCTGCCAAAATGCCCATTAGCCAAGTAGCCTGCTTCTAACAGAGGCCACGAGCAAGTACGTTTAGGAGACAATAAAATAGAGAAGAGGCATAAAGCAATACTTCTCCCAAATAATGTCCACCTGTAACAATTTGCAGTTTGGAGATCTGAACCACAGGTAGGCCCTATGTACTTAGTAACTCAGTGAATATTCCTCTCCTTGAGCCCGGCCTTCTCTTAAAGCCACATCAACCTTCAGCATCCACAGCACTGCAGAGCAAAAAGCACTGTAACTTTTCTTTGTTTAAACAAAGATCTATTCCTTTGTTCTAAACTGGCCACTTGCCAGCTTTACTTGATGCCCTTTCATTGGCATGTGTCAGAACTGCATTAGAAAAAAACAAGAGGACTTAAGTTTAAAGGTTTGCATTCAGACTTTTCAGCACCTGATCCTTAGTTTACCTGTTTCAATCATGTTTAAAAGCAAACTTACTTTTTACGACGACGCCCATACAACTCGCGTCTTAACTCTCGAGAAATGGGTTTCAAATGCATAAAGTTGCAGAAACCTCCTCGTGTACACTCTCTGAAACAGAATTAAAGAGACACCTTTGAAACTCCCAGCTCTACACTGTAACCATTCGCCCTAAGCCCGAGCAGACCTCCAGCCATCTAAAAGTTAATCACCTCTAACATTAAAACCAGTAATTTGCAAGCATCATTTACCGACATCGACTCACTCCTAGATCAAAATCCTAAAAAGACAGCACAAGTCAAGAAGTTGACCGCAGTTCCTCCCTACTGACATTACCTGAAGTGGTTTTCTTCCTACACATCGGAGCCACACCCAAGCACCCACTCTGCCTGTGCAAGCATTTCAAGGATATGGCCATAGGCAAACAGGAAGTCACTTTTTACCCCATTTCATATTGACGGCAACAGGCCTCTCTGAAGTCAGTCACAGGTGAAAGCTCAGCATGAATGGGCTGTCCGTTAAACCAGCGATTGTTCAGGTCAATCACAGCCTTTTCTGCATCTTCTTCACGGCGAAACTGAAGGTAAAATTAACGTTCTCACATTATAAAGAAGCAGAAATAGATCAAAGATTCTTAGCAAATCAGTTGTGCAATACCTGAGGCTTAGGACTAGTAATCAAACTAGAAGCTACTTCAGAGTTCCTGGGACAATCCATCAAATCAAAGGTAAAGATACTAGCTTTTCATTAATCAGGACTTGGAGCTAATCAAAACATTGCTATTTTCTCTTAGTAGTGTTCTACTTGGTCTTTCAAGTTTTGTGGCTTGTATTAAAAGATATGACAGAAGATACTGTCTTTTCTTAGGACAACTTTAAACAAAAAGAATGCTTAAGAGTACTTTCTAGAACATTAATGCTCCAAATGCAATGGATTTTTTTCAAACATTTTAAAAGAAATCTCCATGAGAACTGAAGGTCTCATTCATTTAAATTAGAACTTACAAAAATCTGATCCTGTTTTACAATAAAGGTAAAACTTAAATTTGAAATTCCTTTTCACAGCTAACCACTTGCAAATTTTTAAAAACAAGGGTTTTTTTCCTGGTTATGACCTACACAGCTGAGAATTTTAGGCATGAAAATACTTTCCAGTTAAGGGAATGTACAGTAAAAATATTCAAACTCTCTCACATCTTCCCAACACTGTGTACACACAGTAACATTTCTGCAGGTGACAACTTTGTACTCATTATTCAAGAGACACCAATGACTTCTAAGAGCTAAACTCAAGTGCTCCAGTTTGCACCTTAAGCCACCCAGCTACTGCCAAATGTAACTTGGTTACAAAATGTTTTGTTTAACTGGGAAGTTAGAAAATAAATGCAGCTGTTGAAAATAAACACACCTGTTGCGAATAAACCTCTGCTCATAATGAAGTGCTTAAAAGCCAGTGTGATGGGAAGACAGACCCCAAATTAATCCTGGCAAGCTAAACAGTCCAGCAGTGGTGACTGTGTTTATAACAATGTAAAAAAAAAAAAAGAAGTGTTAATCTTCATGAAAATGACAGATTTTGATTATCAAGAAAGCTTCTCATCATCTCTTAAAACTTCTTTCAGATTCCATTCACATTTTCACTCTTTCTACTTTAGATTGTGAAGTTGGAGAGGAGCTTACAACCTGATGAGCTACTCTCACAAAATCTACAAGCATATAGTAGGTTTTAAAATTATAAATCAGTAAGTGCCACCCCTATTGATTATATAAACACATCTCTTTATCCTACCTTTACGTATACATTTCCAACTAGATGATCTCCAAGGTTATCACAAACGTTCATCTCCTCAACTTCACCATATTTTTCTTCCATTTCTGTGAAGACCTCCTAAGCAAAAAAGCAACCAATTAAGAGTTTGCAGCACATTAAAGTACAAAGTATTGCATTTCACTGTTAGTAAGTGCAAAAGGCAGCCTTCTTTAAAAAAAGAGCAAAACAAGAAAACATTTTTTTTACATTTCTGATTTTAAAGTTCACACTTGCTTCGCCTGTACTGTGTCCATCCAAGTACAGCACTAACAGGATACAACAAAAAGCTATGGAAAACATTATGCATACAGTATTTATAGAATGCATAAGATGAACTGAAAACACGACACATAAGCCTTGATGCTAGTTTTAATTATTTGTATAGAAGCAAATTAACTAAGTATATTTTAAATTTACAGGAAAGGAGGGGATCATGAAATCAAAATGCTACATCACTTAAGTTGCTGATTTTTAAACAAAGTCTATTAAAAACCGTAAAGTTAAAACCAAACTGACCAAAGGTTATACCAGGAAATATTAGCACTGAAAGTTCTAAGTTTTATATGAACACCTCAGGGAACAAGCGCTTTTCTCTGAATCCATCTAACTCCTTTGCATCAACAAATCCACAAACATTTTAATGCATTTTTACATCTTTTACATACCTCAAAGAATTCATCATAATGTTCCTGCATCTCAACATCGCTCACAGCACCTGTAAAAATCAAGAGTCACATCAATTAGAGCTTACAAATACAGAAGAAGAGATTTTGATCATACTACAAAACAATCTAGAGAGGCCATCTGGAGCATAAAAGACACCATATAGCATGAAGCTAACTAATAGGAATATTAAAAATAAGTATGTATGAAGAGCTTTGAGTCCCCAAAGTATATGTCAAAACATTACATTGACATGATCAAATCAAAACCAGTTTTAATCAGAGCCAAACTTGTATGCCACAAATTTAAAGAAAGGGGAAAGGAATTACTTTGAAATATCACTTAAATTTAATGTACAGTCCCACTCTCTATCTACCAACAATTTTACCTAAACAGAAGGCAAGTGCTTTGTTACATTTGCATATTTTAAAGCATGATTACAATTTAGTGTTCCTCTTCCTAAAGGCAGAATTTCATTTTAATGTGTCCACCTCTCCAGTATATACACTAGAATTTGAGAGTTCACAATGTAACACAGCCCAGATTTTTTTTTTTAAATTTGCTCAAAATAGTTTTTGCAATGACACACTTTTCTCAGTGCCCTCAAAGAAAGGAGAGCAATTTTTAGTTTAATTTTGAACATCACTTATTTTTTTTGTAGTCCTGCAGACAACTTTTTAGTGCAAGACAAGCCAGCCATATATTCAGGTTAGATAATTTTCATGCTCCAAGCTGGACTTGATAAATGAGCGCTGCTTGCCTGCTGCTATAAAAAACAACAAAAGTTTGGCTAATTTTTCAAAGCATTAAGAATATAAAAATGAATTTATTTCTTCCAGTCTACAGCATTTTAAACTACATGAAGCCATATACATTAAAGCCTAACGTATTAGCTCTTCAGCAGTTAAGTGGTTTATTAAGATCAAGCGGAGCAGTTTTTAAAACGAACCCTACATTTTATGCTAGAAAAATAGTTTAGCCTTTAAGTTACAAACACTACTGTTTTAGTTCACAGAACGTGAAAGACAAGAAACTGAACCAACTGAGTTTATTCACTTCAGGCTGCTATGAAAAAAAAGAGATGCTTTGGGCTCAGTCATTTTTGCCTAGTATTCGGACAAACATTTTTCTTCAAAGGCTCTAATATTATCTGGCCACACTTTATGGAACTGTAATTACTTTTCTTCTACCCAGCTCACCTCCTGAAGAAGGCTAAGGGGCATTTGTTATATAGTTTAGGCTAACTGTTTCTGCGTTTGAAACATGTTTGCTTTTAAGAATTTTCTTCTTTCCCACTGCTTCCCCACTGTTATATAGCAAATTAAAGAATATCAAACATTAAACCAGTATTTCTAGACAGTTTAATACTTAACTATATTCCCAAGGTTCTGCCAACACCACTGATAACAGCTTACTAATACCTAAAGAATTTTTTTTTTTTTAAAGATATCAGACAGAGGGTCTGTGAGCCACACTGGGAATAACTATGTTTTACAAGATGGACAAGTGCTAAAAACTTATAAAATTTCATTGTCAAATTAGATCACAAGCAACAGTTAGTTAATGACTACTTGAATGTCCTTCTGAAGCGGGAAGCATACATATGCACAGGCTTTACAAACATTCATATTCCAGGGCTACTGGTATCTGAACCTTGAGAAGCCCAATCACTAATTAAAATACCCCGGAAAACTATTGCTGTTCAAAACTAAGGTTAATCTTCTACGACGGCAATAGAAAGGAAGACAGTTAAGCAACAACAACAAAAGCATTAAATAGCTACCCAAGTTATCCATTTCAAATACATGCAGTACTTAAGTAGGGACAAGTATCAAAAAACCAGGGAGCCAGGAGTTTCAGCAAACCTACTGATAACAGAGCTCCAGCTCTACCACAGAAGGTACAGTTAGGCTCTGTTAAATAGCTACCCGCTTGTCAAGACAAACTAGAGTTGGATACCAGAGCATCGAGAACGCTAAAGAATCTGTTCAAGACTCTTGCAGCTGTACAATCTAAACAGCTCCACAGACCAAACTGCTGTAACTCTGTGCAAATTAGTTACCAGCGTATTGAGAATTTAGGGACAGAGTGGAAATACCCAACTGTACATCGTTTGTTTTACTGAAACGGCATTAACTACTAAGCATCTGCAACAAGAAAGCCTACAAACCAATAGAACTGTTTAAGCATCTAGACAACTTACATAGCTCGTTACGTATCTAGCTTACTTAATTGGGCTATTATTACTTTCAGAAGCAGAAGAGACAGTGTTGACTTTTAAGTTAGTGGCTGATTTCACAAAGCACGTCTAATCAAATGCTGGTAACTAATCTGAACTAGTCTATAATCCAACAGTCAAAAAAAGGAACAGCCAAACAAAGCTTTATTACCACACAGTCAATATTCACTTCAACAAGAAATATTAGTTAGAAAATAACATTGATCCTTTTTGGTCCTAAAACTTTTTCTTTTCCTGTGTTTAAATCTTATTCTAATATTGATGATTCAATCGCAATGATATATCAGTAATCGCCGATCAACAATCCTGGTCATTTAACTTCTGCCAGTCTCACAGTAGGTGTGTTTTCTTATGCCCATTCCTACCTCATGAGGAGTCATTAAATTAGTTTGTGACCATACCCAAATGCCTTCCCCTCCTCAAAAGTACTTTTAAAGATATATTTTCCTAGATAAATGTGCAACTTGGTTTTGGAATTTGAATTTTCAAAACATGGAAGGCATTTTAAGCGTGCATCTATCCAAATAGGACAGCTGCCAGAAGGGAAGCGTTTGTCAGTCAAAGTGTATTCTTCCAAAGTAGACTCTAAATGGAAGCTGCATTAACCTAGGACAAGTTTCTGCATGCAGTCTGAAAAGTTTCAAATTCAAGTTCTCTTAACGTTTACAGAGCAGGAAATTTGTTCTGGATGAAGTCAAGGTGTCATTGTCCTGCTCTTTTAGACACTGGAACCTAATGGATAGCACAAAACATACAGAAAAACATTCCTAGAATGCAGGCAACTGGCAGGGAGAAAGGCGGAGGGAAGAAAGCAGTGCAACCAACACTGCTTTACAGGGGAAGTAAAATTTCAACCCTTTTTGCTTTAATAGGTGGTATTCAGATTCCCCTCACAGTTTTGGGAGTAGAGAGGAAGGTGAGTGGGACAAAAAAGTTTTTGGGTGGGTTTTTTGTGTGTTTGTTTTGGACACATTTAATGAAATGTGGTCAGTTTGATCTGTTAAACTAAAATGGTAGACCAGCTTAAGTCGACACTGAGCTCTGACAATCAAGCCCAGGGAACCAGTGAAGGAACTTGTATGAACTTACAGCGCAAACCGTCAGCAGACTGGGAAGAGTTTTGAGGGTTACGGTAAATGTTCAAGAGGGCAATGGTCTGAAATACAAAACGCAACAACTTTATATTATGGAAAATAATTTTAACAAGAAACCGGTTTCCTTTAGGGTCGCTTTAGCCGAGTCTGTGCTGAAAGAGAGGTGGTTATTTTCTCCCAAGAAGGAGAACTTTCACTTAGCTGGTGACCTTTCTGAATCAACCTAACACTGTAAAGTAATAGAGATCTCATGATACTCCATTATTGTATTTTTTATTTTATTCACCAAAGTTACTAGAGGGTTAGTGCATGATTTCAGGCAGATATGCAATAGATGGCATCCAAACACAGTATTCAAATTACAAGCACAATAATTTGTTTGAATTTGGTTTTACTGCATAGTTTCTGAGTAGCAAAACCCCAGGAAAGGAAGTAATACAATAATTACAGCATAACATGAAATCTCCATTTTCCTAAAAAAGTTAATATGAAAGAAAACTCACAGTTTTGGGAAACTTACCGTACATTTTATATATATACCTATTTATTTTTTTTTGTTAAATCAAGAATTTGAGAAATGTCTGCAGTTTAACCCTCTAAAAAGAATGCAGCATTACTAAGCAATCAAGTTTTGCTTTGCAGTACAAAAGAGAACCTGCATCAAGGCCAATTTATGCAGTCAACTCTGCATTCTGAATTGCACACATTTGACAAGTTCTTGATCTATGCGCAAGAAGAGTTCCGTCACTTGTCCTGTTTGCAACAGCTTTATGTCAGCAGCTCAGAAGCCAACATTATTTTCTCATAATTAGGAGTGGGCTCTTTAACACCATTCTTTAAAAAAATTTCTCCAACTGTGGGACTTACAGTGTGAGCCGTCAGCCGTCTGTGCACTGTTTTGGGGGTTACGATAGATGTTTTGAATCAAGATGGTCTGCGGGGAAAAAAAATAAAAAGGGGAATTCTACTGGCTGCTGTGCATATAATAGACAATTGCAAAGAGACAACTTGTTTGCAAACAGCTAAAAGTAATATTTTATTCTTAAGACTTCCTTTTGTATTTGCAGAATATCTTCCAAAATTGCATCCAGACCATCATATTATGAAAACAGTTTTAATTAACCACCAAGAAAGAGCTGCATTTGTCTCAACAGCCATCCTCAATATGGGAGTTGTGAGGCACAGTAACCTAAGATGTCAAACTACACGGTATTAAGGAGATGCCTAGCTTTCAAGACCAGATTCATTATTCTAAGTCGGGGCGGGGA